ATCATGACCCGAGCCGAAGGCAGACGCTTAACAACTGAGCCACCCGGGTGCCCCCCAGCTTTCTTTCAAATCAGATCAGATCTGCTTTCATGTGTTTTATGTATTGGAGTTCCTCCACCACAAAATATTTCAAAATGGATTGCAGAATGTTTTGAAAAAGGACAAGCCCTTTCTTTTCATTTTAGTATTCACCTATATTTAGCCCTTGTATTTAGTCTCTCACAGGAGGCCATTTATTTTGATGGACTTTATGTTTGCTCAAGACACTGCAAACTGTATCTAGGTTTCCACATGATTTCCATTATACCTTTTGCACTACCTTTATCTCTCTCTTATCAAGAAATCAGCTCTAATCTGATTTTTAGCCTCAGCACTTTTCACCCCATATATCTATTATCATCCAAAGATTGTGAAATTCTTTGAACTCCTAGGAACACAATTATTTTTAGTGAGGTGAACTGAAATTTTTATTGGAGCAGGGACTCAAAAGTTTTTGCAACCCTGCTGTGGTATAGCCTGGACTTAAGTTCACATTTTTATTACATGCAGATAAATCTGAGCACCGAGGATATGTTAAGTACAGTATAATCTAAATATGAGGCTAAACAAAAACACAGAGTAGTAATTGAAATAACATGGGAGAAAGGGGAGAAGTAAAAGTCCTACATCAGCTATTTTATCTGAGATTATACCTAAAGTCCCATATTTTACCTTTCCTTCTCTCTAAGTGGTGATATTAAAAGGTCCTTATATATTTTGGAAGACTGAATTCAGCTCCATTTAGGAAGTTTGTAAGCTCTGTGACATTGAGTTCAGACATCTTATTAGCACTTCCATGAATTATAGACCTGTCTTGGAGTAATCTCCATTAGCTCCAGTTACATTCCAGTGTTCATGGAAACTTATGGAGGAAAAAAGATGAATCAATTTTGAAAACTGGCAGCCATAGTTTAATCTCAACATCAAATTCATGGTCTGTATTTTACTCAGCTTAACAATGTCATAATAGTAGAATAATATATTCTATATTAGATGTCTCTTTTGAAAGTTAGCACATAAGTGATACTGCTTTGAAAGAAATAGATGAATTTCTCCAGATTACTAAAGTATGACTGAGTTGATCATTTTGATTCACCAAACATGGTATGCGTAATATAACAAAACCACATTATGAGGCCAGAGATAAAAAATGGAATGAATCTTTATTGTTTTATGTCAGATGTAGCATAATTAGACAAACATCATAAGTGAATGTGATACTTTGAGGGTCTTTCTAATCACCAGGGTAACCTATTAGCCCTTATTTTTACTTCACATTTATTATATCATTGGAATTTCATAATACATTTTGAGAAGTGCCTCCTGAGGCCTCACTCTTTCTGGTTCTGTGAAAGAAGAACGCTTTGTCTTTCCCAAGTGAGGAAGAAGTTAGAGGTTTCAATGCCCCTTTCTATTTTGCTTTTCCAGGAGAAATATGAGAGTTTTATGATTATTCATGAAAACACTAATGATCTGACTTTCCACCCATTGTCTTCTTCCAAAATAGCTGCCTATCACAGTCTCTCTGTAGTGTAGGGAAGGCCCAAATAAGAAAATGGAAGTGAAGAGGTGAGTCTAAAAATTTACAAAAAAGAAATTTCTACTGAATTCCTCAGATCATGTGAAACTGAGTTTGTGAATCAGAGAAGCTATGAGAGGTTGAGAAGACAGATGTTTGTCAACTTGATTATTTTTTAATGCTCATTTTTTTTTTTTTTTTTACTTTTTTGCTCTCATCCACTTTTGTTTTTAGTAATGTTTAATAATGTTTTTGGAGGGCGCCTGGGTGGCTCAGTCATTAGGCGTCTGCCTTCAGCTCAGGTCATGATCCTGGGTCCTGGGATCGAGTCCCGCATCGGGCTCCCTGCTCCACGGGGAGCCTGCTTCTCCCTCTCCCACTCCCTCTGCTTGTGTTCCCTCTCTCGCTATGTCTCTCTCTGTCAAATAAATAAAATCTTTTTAAAAAAATAATGTTTTTGGAAACATTAGAAAAACATAGTATTTCTCAGTTGTATGAAAGATAACAAAGAAAAAGGAATGTTTTTGTGTCCAAAATTGGTCTGGGTGGAATGAAAAAGCGGTGTTTTTTAATGTGAATTTTAAAAAAGTACAAAGGGGAAAATATTTCAAGTCATAATCTACCATTTAGAGACTTAATTCCCAGAATTCTCCTCTACTCCACCTTTGGGAAAATTTGTTTTTGATAACTAGAAGGATTATTCCTTTGGCGAACTCACCAAAAGCTGCTTTTGGACACTAAAGTATCAAACTGCCTCTACTTTCATTGATATATATTATTATACACTTCATACTCGATATATTATTCAACCAATCAAATGTGTCAACTAATGTTTAATGCTGAGATAAGTTTTGTCCTCAGATTCACAATAATAGTTGATATCATTAACCATAAGAAAGCATACTGCTTCTCTTCAGTTAAAGTTTAGCCTGTGAAGAGAAAACTATAGAGAAAGGAGATTTTTGCAAAGAACTCTAAGTCACAAGTTTTGGCTGGGAAGTTTTAGGACATAATAACTTAGAAGGCATTCACATTTTACACCCCCTCCCTCCCCCAGTTCTTATGAGACCCAGGAGTCCTCACATGTATTGGCAGACTAAATTGGGTTTAGTTTGGCTAACATTTATCTCTGTTAAAATGGAGTTAGTTTTAACACACAATACATACCAATGCCTAAAATTTTGGCCAACAAGAATTCTACTCCTGAAAATTTTCTCTCCCTTTATTCTGACTGGGCTGTGTAGAGAAGGAAGCAAGCAGCCAGTATCCCAGGAAAGTGGGAATTGTGCTGGACTTCAGATTCTATGGAGGGGAAGACAGCACAATTAGCTAAATATTAATCCTAGAAATAAGCTAAAGGCCTAAGATTAGAACCATAGATCTTTCATCTTGGTTACTAGGAAGCAGACTTTGCTTATTGTGTTATTTAGACTTTTGTATTTTTTTTTTTTACTAGTTTCTGTCTTTATTTGGATTTTGGAGAATTTGGCTTATTGTTCTTTTTTGTTATGTATTTAATTTTAATTCCAGTATAGTTAACATACAATGTTATATTACTTTCAGGTGTACAATATAGTAATTCAAAATTTATACATCATTATTCAGTGCTCATTATGATAAGTGTACTCTTTTTTTTTTAAGATTTTATTTATTTATTTGACAGAGAGACAGTGAGAGCAGGAACACAAGCAGGGGGAGTGGGAGAGGGAGAAGCAGGCCTCCCGCCGAGCAGGGAGCCCGATGTGGGACTCGATCCCAGGACCCTGGGATCATGACCTGAGCTGAAGGCAGGCGCTTAACGACTGAGCCACCCAGGCGCCCCAATAAGTGTACTCTTAATCCCCTTCACCTATTTCATCCATCCCCCCACCCACCTCCCCTCTGATATGCTTTATTTTAAATGGTACCCTCAGTTAAAGATTTAATTTTTTTTTAAAGATTTTGTTTATTTATTTGACAGAGAAAGACACAGCGAGAGAGGGAACACAAACGGGGAGTGGGAGAGGGAGAAGCAGACTCCCTGCCGAGCAGGGAGCCCGATGTGGGACTCGATCCCGGGACTCCAGGATCATGACCTGAGCCGAAGGCAGTCGCTTAACCAACTGAGCCACCCAGACGCCCAAAGATTTAATTTTTTTCTACAAGAATGTTTTTTATTGGAAACATGCTTCAGAATACATGGTTCTAAAAGATGTATAAAAAATATTCCACCCAGGGGCACCTGAGTGGCTCAGTCATTAAGTGTCTGCCTTTGGCTCAGGTCATGATTTCAGGGTCCTAGGATCGAGCCCCATGTCAGGTTCCCTGCTCCATGGGGAGCCTGCTTTTCCTTCTCCCTTTGCCTCTCCCCCTGCTTGTGCTCTCTCTCGCTATCTCTGTCACTATCTGTCTCTCCCTATCAAATAAATAAATAAAATCTTTAAAAAAATATTCCATCCAAGAAAAATGGAATATACACTTTCTTTAAGTACACACAGAAGATTCCCTGGTTAAATCACATAGAAGAAGACATAACAAATATCATATTTAAGAAGACTGAGATCATACTAAGTATATTTTCCAAACACAATGGTACAAAACTAAAGATCAACAATAAAACAACCCAGACCCAAAGCAATCCACACATTTAATGTAATGCCTATCAAAATACCATAAGCATTTTTCACAGAGCTAGACGAAATAATCCTAAAATTTGTATGAAACCACAAAAGACTCCAAATAGCCAAAACAATCTTGAAAAATAAAAGCAAAGCTAGAGGCATCATGATTCTGGACTTCAAGCTATATTACAAAGCTGTAGTCATCAAGACAGTGTGATACTGGCATGAAAACAGACACATAGTTCAATAGGACAGAATAGAAGACCCAGAAATGGACCCACAACTTTCCATATCCAATGGAAAAGAGATAGTATCCTCAACAAATGGTGCTGGGAAAACTGTACAGCAACATGCAAAAGAATGAAACTGGACAGCTTTCTTACACCATACACAAAAATAAATTCAAAATGGAATGAAAGATCTAAGTGTGATACAGGAAACCATGAAAGTCCCAGAGGAGAACACAGGCAGTAACCTCTTTGACTTTGGCTGTAGTGACTTACTAGATACATCTCCTGAGTCAAGGGAACAAAAGCAAAATAAACTATTGGGACTTCATCAAGATAAAAAGCTTCTACACAGCCAGGGAAACAATCAAGAAAACTAAAGGCAACCTTCAGAATGGGAGAAGATATTTCCAAATGACATATCTGATAAAGGGTTAGTACCCAAAATGTATAAAGAATTTATCAAATTCAACACCACAAAATCAAATAATCCAGTTAAGAAATGGGCAGAAGACATGATAGACACTTTTACAAAGAAGACATACAGATGGCTAAAGCTGGCTCTTGGAAGTTGAGGCAAGAGGGACGCTGACGTGGTAGCCACCGCCACTTTCCTTGCAGGATAATAAGCTGGGTAGAGTTGCTGAGGATCTACCAAATCTGCTGATTAACTATGGAAGATTATATCAAAATAGAGAAAATTGGAGAAGGTACCTATGGAATTGTGTAGACACAAAACTACAGGTCAAGTGGTAGCCATAAAGAAAATCAGACTAGAAAGTGAAGAAGAAGGGGTTCCTAGTACTGCAATTCAGGAAATTTCTCTATTAAAAGAACATCATCCAAATATAGTCAGTCTTCAAGATGTGCTTATGCAAGATTCCAGGTTATATCTCATCTTTGAATTCCTTTCCATGGATCTCAAGAAATACTTAGATTCCATCCCTCCTGGTCAGTTCATGGATTCTTCACTTGTTAAGAGTTATTTCTATGAAATCCTACAAGGGATTGTGTTTTGCCACTCCAGAAGAGTTCTGCACAGAGACTTAAAACCTCAAAATCTATTGATTGATGACAAAGGAACAATTAAACTGGCTGATTTGGGCCTTGCCAGAGCTTTTAGAATACCTATTAGAGTATACACACATGAGGTGGTAACACTCTGGTATAGATCACCAGAAGTATTGCTGGGGTCAGCTCGCTACTTGACTCCAGTTGACATTTGGAGTATAGGCAGCATATTTGCAGAATTAGCAATGAAGAAATCACTTTTCCATGGGGATTCAGAAATCGATCAACTTTTCAGAATTTTCAGAGCTTTGGGCACTCCCAATAATGAAGTGTGGCCAGAAGTGGAATCTTTACAGGACTATAAGAATACATTTCCTGGGGCGCCTGGGTGGCTCAGATGGTTAAGCGTCTGCCTTCAGCTCAGGTCATGATCTCAGGGTCCTGGGATCAAGTCCCGCATCGGGCTTCCTGCTCCTTGGGAGCCTGCTTCTCCCTCTGCCTCTCTCTCTCTGTCTCTGTCTCTCATGAATAAATAAATAGAAAAAAAAAAAAAAGAATACATTTCCCAAGTGGAAACCAGGAAGACTGGCATCCCATGTTAAAAACTTGGATGAAAATGGCTTGGATCTGCTCTCGAAAATGTTAGTCTATGATCCTGCCAAACGAATTTCTGGCAAAATGGCACTAAATCATCCATATTTTAATGATTTGTACAATCAGATTAAGAAGATGTAGCTTTCTGACAAAGAGTTTCCACGTATCAAGAACAGATAGTTATATTTTTACTGTTAACTTTGTCTGTTTTTGTTTTGTGTATTTTCTTTTCTTTGTTGTAAACTTAAGCTGTACTTCATCTTCTGATTTCAAAAGTGTAACTTAAAAATGTAAATATTGTTCTATATGAATTTAAATATAATAATTCTGTGTATGTTTATAGATCTTACTGTAACAACTATTTGTTACCATAATAAAACTATAAATCTAGTTTTGATGTCAGGAAAAAAAGAGAAGACATACAGGTAGCTAAAAGACACATGAAAAGCTGCTTAACATCACTCATCATCAGGGAAACACAAATCAAAACTACAATGAGATATCCCCTCACACCTCTCAGAGTGGCTAAAATTCAGAGCACAGGAAACAACAGGTGTTGGCGAGGATGCAGAGAAAGAAGAACCCTCGTACACTGTTGGTGGGAATGCAACCTGGTGCAGCCACTCTGGAAAACAGTATGGAGGTTCGTCACAAAGTTAAAAATAGAACTACCCTATTATCCAGCAACTTCCTATTATCCACCTGCCCAACCACCAGGTATTTACCCAAAGAATACAAAAATACTGATTTGAAGGGATACATGCACCCTGATGTTTATAGCAGCATTATGAAAAACAGCCAAATTATGGAAAGAGCCCCTATGTCCATCGACTGATGAATGCATAAAGATGTGGTTTATATATACAATGGAATATTATTCAGCCATAAAAAAGAAGAAATCTTGCCATTTTCAATGATGTGGATGGAGCTAGAGTGTATTATGCTAAGCAAAATAAATCAGTCAGAGAAAAACAAATACCATATGATTTCACTCATATGTGGAATTTAAGAAACAAAACATATGAACATAGGAGAAAAAGAAAAAGAGTGGCAAACCAGAAAACATACTCTTAACTACAGAGAACAAACTGAGGGTTGCTTGACAGGAGGTGGGTGGGGGGATGGGTTAAATGGGTGGTGGGGGAAGGAGGAGCAAGATGGTGAAGGAGTAGGAGACCTAAATTTAGTCTGGTCCCAGGAATTCAGCTAGATAGTGATCAAACCATTCTGAACACCTATGAACTCAACAGGAGATTGAAGAAAAGAATAGCAGCAACTCTCTGAACAGAAAAGCGACCACTTTCTGGAAGGCAGGACATGCGGAGAAGTGAATCTGAGGCGATATTCTGGAAGATAGATGGCGGGGGGTGGGGCCTCCATCAGCCGCTACCAGCAAGTGATAGAACAGCGGAGCACAAAATCAGAACTTTTAGAAGTCTGCTCCACTGAGGGACATCACTCCAGTGGCTAAGTGGGGAGTGCAATTTCGCTGGGACAGTGTGGTCACAGGGCCCTCGGGGTCACAGAAAGACCAGGGATGCCTGAGTGTGGCAGAGCTCCCAGGTATCGGAGCAGGGAAGCCGGCTGCAAAGACAGAGCCAAGGAGCAAGCTCTCAGCTCGGAGTTGCCATAAACCATGATCTGCGGCACAGTCAGGCCACTGCTCCTCCAGCAGGGGACCCAACAAGCAGCAGATCCAGGGAGACTCCCCTTCCTCTCCCAGGAGGAGTGGCGCGGGAGTGCCCTGCAGGAATCTGCTGGGTTTGGAGACTCCACACGGCATCAGGTGCCAGAGATAGAAACGCTCGGTCACAGGCCAGATGAGCACGGAGTGTGGCTGGAGACTGGGGAGATGGGAGTGATTGACTGCTTTTCTCTGGGGGTGCACTGAGGACTGGGGTCCCAAGTTCTCGGCTCCTCCAGGGTGGAGAGTGGGAGGCCACCATTTTCACTCTCATCTTCCAAAGCTGTGCGGAAAGCTTGCAGGGAACAAAAACTACTGAGAGCAAACCAGAGCATATTACTTAGCCCGGACCCAGAAAGGGTGGGGCAATTCTGCCTCTGGCAAAGACATTTGAGAATCACTGCGACAGGCCCCTCCCCCAGAAGATCAGCAAGAACAGCCAGCCAAGACCAAGTTTACAGATCAATGAGAATGGCAGAACTCCAGCACTAGGGGAATACTGCTCATAAAATTCATGGCTTTTTTGACCCTGATTCTTTAGTCTTTCAAAGTTAATTTTTTTAACTTTCTTTTTCTTTTCTTTTCTTTTTTTGAATTTTTTTTTGCCTTTTTCAACCAACTTCTTATCAATCCCTTTTTAAAAATTTTTTATTTTTCAATTTTAGAGTCATATTCTACCCTTCATAGTAGTTAACCTTATTTTTGGTATATATATAAGTTGTTCTCTCTTTAAAATTTTGAGATACAGTTTCTTCTAACAGACCAAAATATACCCTAAATCTCTAGTGTATGGATTTGTTCTAGTCTCCTGCCTGATCACATTCTCTCCACCCCCCCCCCACTTTTTTATATACTCTTCTTTTTTCAACCAACTTCTAACCTTATCAATTCCTTTTATAAAATCTTTTATAATTTTCATCTTTACAGTCATATTCCATCCCTTCATCATATTAACCCTTATTTTTGTACATATATAAGTTTTTCTTTCTTTAAAATATTGGGAGGCACTTTCATCTGACAGACCAAAATACGCCCCAAATCTAGTGTGTGGCACTGATCTATGAACCAGCCTGATCATATTTGACATATTTTTTTTCCTCATCTTTTTTTTCTTTTTTGTTTCTTTCCCTTTCTTTTCCCCCGCTTTCAGTTCTCTTCAGATTTGTTTAGTGTATATTTTTCTGGGGTCATTGTTACCCTGTTAGCATTTTGTTCTCTCATTTATCTATTCTCCTCTGGACAAAATGACAAGATGGAAAAAATCACCTGAAAAAAAAAACCAAGAGGCAGTACCGACTGCCAGAGACCTAATCAATAAGGACATTAGTAAGATGTCAGAAATAGAGTTCAGAATGATGATTATAAAGATACTAGCTGGGCTTGAAAAAAGCATGGATGATATTAGAGAAACTCTTTCTGGAGAAATAAAAGAATTAAATCTAACCAAGTCGAAATCAAAAGGCTATTAATGAGGTGCAATAAAAAATGGAGGCTCTAGGGGCACCTGGGTGACTCAGTCATTAAGCGTCTGCCTTTGGCTCAGGTCATGATCCCAGGGTCCTGGGATCGAGCCCCACATTGGGCTCCCTGCTCCGTGGGAAGCCTGTTTCTTGCTCTCCCACTCCCCCTTCTTGTGTTCCCTCTCTTGCTGTGTCTCTCTCTCTGTCAAATAAATAAATAAAATCTTTAAAAAAAAATGGAGGCTCTAACTGCTAGGAAAAATGAGGCAGAAGAGAGAATTAGTGATATAGAAGACCAAATGATGGAAAATAAAGAAGCTGAGAAAGAGAGAAATAAACAACTACTGGATCACGAGGGCAGAATTCGAGAGATAAACGAAACCATAAGATGAAACAACATTAGAATAATTGGGATCCCAGAAGAAGAAGAAAAAGAGAGAGGGGCAGAAGGTATATTGGATCAAATTATAGCAGAGAACTTCCCTAATTTGGGGAAGGAAACAGGCATCAAAATCCAGGAAGCACAGAGAACCCCTCTCAAAATCAATAAAAATAGGTCAATATCCAAACATCTAATAGTAAAACTTACGAGTCTCTGAGACAAAGAGAAAATCCTGAAAGCAGCTCAGGACAAGAGGTCTGTAAACTACAATGGTAGAAACATTAGATTGGCAACAGACCTATCCATAGAGACCTGGCAGGCCAGAAAGGACTGGCATGATATATTCAGAGCACTAAACGAGAAATATATGCAGCCAAGAATACGATATCCATCTAGGCTGTCCTTGAAAATAGAAGGAGAGATAAAAAGCTTCCAGGACAAACAAAAACTAAAGGAATTTGCAAACATGAAACCAGCCCTACAAGAAGTATTGAAAGGGGTCCTCTAAGCAAAGAGAGAGCCTAAAAGTAACATAGACCAGAAAGGAACACAGACAATGTAACAGTCACCTTATAGGCAATACAATGGCACCAAATTCATATCTTTCAAAAGGTTCCCTGAATGTAAATAGGCTAAATGCCCCAATCAAAAAACACAGGGGATCAGATTAGATAAAAAAACAAGACCCATTGATATGCTGTCTGCAAGAGACTCATTTTAGACCCAAAGACACCTCCAGATTGAAAGTGAGGGGGTGGAAAACAATTTACCATGCTAATGGACACCAAAAGAAAGCTGGGGTGGCAATCCTTATATCAGACAAATTAGATTTTAAATCAAAGACTATAATAAGAGATGAGGAAGGACACTATATCATACTTAAAGGGTCTATCTAACAAGAGGACCTAACAATTGTAAATATCTATGCCCCTAACATGGGAACACCCAATTATATAAGGCAATTAATAACAAAAGCAAAGAAACACATCAACAACAATACAATAATAGTGGGGAATTTTAAGACCCCCTCACTGAAATGAACAGATCATCTAAGCAAAAGACCAACAAGGAAATAAAGACTTTAAATGACATATGTGGCCACATGGACTTCACAGATATATTCAGAACATTCCATCCCAAAGCAACAGAATACACATTCTTCTCTAGTGCCCATGGAACATTCTCCAGAATAGATCACATCCTAGGTCCAAATCAAGTCTCAACTGGTACCAAAAGATTGGCATCATTCCCTGCATATTTTTGGACCACAGTGCTTTGAAACTAGAACTCAATCACAAGAGGAATGTCGGAAAGAACTCAAATGCATGGAGGCTAAAGAGCATCCTACTGAAGAATGAATGGGTCAACCAGGAAATTAAAGAAGAATTAAAAAATTCATGGAAATAAATGAAAATGAAAACACAACTGTTCAAAATCTTTGGGATACAGCAAAGGCAGTCCTAAGAGGAAAGTATATAGCAATACAAGGCTTTGTCAAGAAACAAGAAAGGTCTCAAATACACAACCTAACCCTACACGTAAAGGAGCTGGAGAAAGAAGAGCAAGTAAAACCTAAACCCAGCAGGAGAAGAGAAAAAATAAAGATCAGAGCAGAAATCTAGGAAATAGAAACCAAAAGAACAGTAGAACAACCAAAACCAGGAGCTGGTTCTTTGTAAGAATTAATGATTGATAAACCCCTAGCCAGACTTATCCAAAAGAAAAGAGAATGGACCCAAATGAATAAAATCATGAATGAAACAGGAGAGATCATAACCAAAACCAAAGAAATACAAACAATTATAAGAACATATTATGAGCAACTCTATGCCAGCAAATTAGGTAACCTGGAAGAA